TGTGTGCCTGTCTGCTTGTCTCTGTCTCAGAGAGCCACTCGTGAACCAACAGGTATTACACATGATGCAGAGTCGTCACGTCTAATTCCTGAACAAGCTAAAATGTGTATTACTTGAGTCATGCTTGTTATGTCTTATATGTACAAGCACAGTCTAGCACTCTTGTCTGGATTTTTTGGGTTATCCTAGGTAATTTACACTATGTATAATAACTGTTTATGTGTAGGTTGGTAGACAGCAACCACCCAGGGAGGAACTACCATCCTGCCAAGTGAGTGTAAAATGAAAGCCTGTAATTGTTTTACATGATGGTAGGATTGCTGGTGTCTTTTGTCTGTCTCATAAATATGCAAGATTACAGGTACGTCTTGCTACTTCTACTTACACTTAGGTCACACTACACATACATGTACACGTTTATTTATACACACTCATCTGAGTTTTCTTTGATTTTATCTTAATAGTTCTTGGTCTTATTACTTTTCCTTTTATATCCATGGGGAAGTGGAATAAGAATCTTTCCTCCGTAAGCCATGCGTGTTGTAAAAGTCAACTAAAATGCCGGGAACAATGGGCTAGTAACCCCTTTTCCTGTAAAGATTACTAAAAAAGAATAAGAAGAAGAAAATTGCCCAAAGTGGGAAGCCCTAATTCGGGGAAATGTTGTCCCAAATGAAAAAAAGAGATGTTTTGGATGTTTTTAAAATGAAAAAGAAACTGGATTTTTGTTGGCTTTAAGGGGAAAAAAAAGCAAAGGGGGTGGGGGGAGTTTTAAAGGGAGGGGAAAATAAAGGGGATTGGGGTTCCGGGGGTTTTTTCAAATATAGAGTTAAAAAGGGGTTTTTAAAAAAGGGATTTTTAACCTTTTTAATGGTTAAGGAAAGTTTAAACGGCCAGGAAAAGAGGGACTTTTAAATCCCTTTAAAATTCAAGGATTATGGGAGAAAAAATAAAGATTGGATGTGAAAATGGGTTTATAGTAAGCTTTGTATGCACCTGGAAAAGAGGAGAAGTTTTAGAGGAGGAGGGGAAATTTTGGGAAATTTTGGGTGAATGGTGGGATTTTTGGGAATCAAGTGTAAAGAGTAATGGGGGGTTGGGGATTTCAAGGGTTTAAAGTGGGAAAAAAATGTTTTTGGAGGGAGTAGTGGGAAAAAAATTTGGGGGGGGCCGGGGGGTTTAAATGAAAATTGGGACCTTTAAATTGAGTTATGTGTAGAAAAAATTTTGGTTTTAATTTTTAAAAGAATAAATTTCTTGAAAAAAAGGGGAAATAAAAAAAATACAAGGTATAAAGGGGCCCACTAATAAAAAGTATTTTGTTGTTTATGAAATTGGTGGAAAAAAGGGTTTTGAGGGGTTTGGCCCCGGGATGTACATGTTTAAAAACCCGGGCAATTTATATATAAAGATCATTATTTAGTTTTAGCTCAGTTAGAGAAAGGAGGGTAGATGGGAAAAGAGGAAGGTGGCCAAAAACAAAAAGGGTAAGGGGGAAAGGGTAAAAGTGTAAAAACAAAGGGGGGAAGGAAAGTCGGCGGGAAATTTAAAGCATTTGGCAGAAAGGGGGCTAGTGCAAAGATGAGTAGGGGGGGGTTTTTGAAGAGGGTTGGAATATTTTTTAAAAAATGCAGTATTAAATGGGGGAAAAAGGGTTTGGGGTTTTATAGGGGGGGGGGCCCGGAGGAAAGAGGAGTGATTTGTAAAATGATGAAGAAAAGGGTTTGATAAAAAGAGAAAAAGGTGTTTTCCCGGGGTTTTTTTAAAACAAAGCAAAAAGGTTATAAGAAGAGCAGAGTATATGGAGAGTAAAAGAAAGGTGAAGAGAGTGGTGAGAGAGTGCAAAAGGAGAGCAGATGAAAGAGTGGGAGAGGCACTGTCAAGAAATTTTAATGAAATTTGAAAAAATTTTGGAGTGAGTTAAACAAGTTAAGAAAGCCTAGGGAAAGTATGGATTTGTCCGTTAAAAACAGAGTAGGGGAGTTAGTAGATGGGGAGAGGGAGGTATTAGGTAGATGGCGAGAATATTTTGAGGACTTTTAAATGTTGAGGAAGAAAGGGAGGCGGTAATTTCATGCACTGGCCAGGAGGTATACCATCTTTTAGGATGAAGAAGAGCAGAATGTAAGTGGTGGAGGTACGTGAGGCATTACGTAGAATGAAAGGGGTAAAGCAGCTGGAACTGATGGATCATGACAGAAATGTTAAAAGTAGGGGGGGATAATAGTGTTGGAGTGGTTGGTACTTTTGTTTAATAAATGTAGAAAGAGGGGAAGGTCCCTAGGGATTGGCGGAGAGCATGTATAGTCCCTTTATATAAAGGGAAAGGGACAAAAAGAGATTGTAAAAATTATAGAGCAATAAGTTTACTGAGTATACCAGGAAAAGTATACGGTAGGTTAATAACTGAAAGAATTAGAGGTAAGACAGAATGTAAATTGCGGATGAGCAAGGAGGCTTCAGAGTGGGTAGGGATGTTAGATCAAGTGTTTACATTGAAGCATATATGTGAACAGTATTTAGATAAAGGTAGGGAAGTTTTTATTGCATTATGGATTTAGAAAAAGGCATATGATAGAGTGATAGAGGAGCAATGTGGCAGATGTTGCAAGTTTATGGAATAGGTGGTAAGTTACTAAATGCTGTAAAGAGCTGTTATGAGGATAGTGAGGCTCAGTTAGGGTGTGTAGAAGAGAGGGAGAATACTTCCCGGTAAAAGTAGGTCTTAGACAGGGATGTGTAATGTCACCATGGTTATTTAATACATTTATAGATGGGGTTGTAAAAGAAGTAAATGCTAAGGTGTTCGGGAGAGGGTGGGATTAATTATGGGGAATCAAATTCAAAATGGAATTGACACAGTTACTTTTTGCTGATGATACGTGCTTATGGAGATTCTAAAGAAAAAATTGCAAAAGTTAGTGGATGAGTTTGAGAATGTGGTAAAGGAATAAAGTTGAAAGTGAACATAGAAAAGAGTAAGGTGATGAGGGTATCAAATGATTTAGATAAAGAAAATTGGGAGGAGGAGTATGGAAGAAGTGAATGTTTTCAGATACTTGGGAGTTGACGTGTCGGCGGATGGATTTATGAAGGATGAGGTTATCATATTATTGATGAGGGAAAAAAGGCGAGTGGTGCGTTGAGGTATATGTGGAGTCAAAAAACGTTATCTATGGAGGCAAAGAAGGGAAATGTATGAAAGTATAGGAGTACCAACACTCTTATATGATGTGAAGCTTGGGTGGTAAATGCAGCAGCGAGGAGACGGTTGGAGGCAGTGGAGATTGTCCTGTCTAAGGGCAATGTGTGGTGTAAATATTATGCAGAAAATTCAGAGTGTGGAAATTAGGAGAAGGTGTGGAGTTAATAAAAGCATTAGTCAGAGGGCAGAAGAGGGGTTGTTGAGGTGGTTTTGGTCATTTAGAGAGAATGGATCAAAGTAGAATGACACGGAAAGCATATAAATCTATAGGGGAAGGAAAGAGGGGTAGGGGTCGTCTCGAAAGGGTTGGAAAGAGGGGTAAAGGAGGTTTTGTGGGCGAGGGGCTTGGACTTCCAGCAAGCGTGCATGAGCGTGTTAGATAAGAGTGAATGGAGACGAATGATACTTGGGACCTGACGATCTGTTGGAGTGTGAGCAGGGTAATATTTAGTGAAGGGATTCAGGAAACCGGTTATTTTCATATAGTTGGACTTGAGTCCTGGAAATGGGAAGTACAATGCCTGCACTTTAAAGGAGGGGTTTGGGATATTGGCAGTTTGGAGGGATATGTTGTGTATCTTTATACGTATATGCTTCTAAACTGTTGTATTCTGAGCACCTCTGCAAAAGCAGTGATAATGTGTGAGTGTGGTGAAAGTGTTGAATGATGATGAAAGTATTTTCTTTTTGGGGATTTTCTTTCTTTTTTGGGTCACCCTGCCTCGGTGGGAGACGACCGACTTGTTGAAAAAAAAAAAAAAAAAAGTGTACCTATGAGATAGAGGTAGAGACAGACAGACAGAAACAGAGATAGAGACAGACAGAGACAGGCATAGATAGAGACAGCCAACCGGCCGGCCGGCCAGCCAGCCAGCCACCCAACCAGCCAGCCACCCGGCCAGCCAGCCAGCCACCCGGTCTGCCAAACACGTATTACACACAGTTAAGAATTGTTTCTCTTTACTTAGGGAATAGGTAATAGGACATTCTGGCAGGATGACACTATTAGTGGTATCAAAATGAAAGGTTGTTGCACAAATGTTGCACATGGGTTATTATCAAGGTATTTGATATTTCCTCAACTACTTGTGGCCATATCCATCTCAAGGCCACTAAACTCAGGCCAACATCACTTTCCTTTTTAAAAGGGAGTGTTAATACGACATGACATCAGTGAGTCCCTGGTGTTTGCCATACTCTTTGCTCTAGCTGGTACTCAATTGAACTGGTGCTCCCACAAGGTACTAAGTGGTCCTAGATTTTTTTAATACTGGGCACACCGAGTGTTAAGACCCATTCTATCCTAACCAGACAACTCGGGCCAATCGTCCCAAATTTGGAGGCAGGAAAAAGAAAAAATTGATCTACGTTTGGAGCGCTAGCGGTAAGAACGTAGATCTACATTTGGACAGTTAAGGGGTTAAAGGAGGGGTTTGGTACATTGGCTGTTTGGAGTGACATCTAAATTGTCGTATCTGAGCGTCTTTGCAAAGACAGTGATTACATGTGTATGACACTGAAAGTGTTGAATGATGGTAAAAGTGTTTCTTTCTTTTTGGGGTCACCCCTGCCTTGGTGAAAAATGGCCAAGTTAAAAGAAAATGTCAATCGTTAAACCCATGTTGATCATTTAAAGCAAAGACTGGAAGTTCATTCCTCCATCTGCTGAGATGTTTGCACTTCAGTTGACCTCCAAATTACGTGTTAACAAATTTCAAAGTGTAGTTAAGAACTTACTCCAAGATAATGTGCATTCTTAAAGTTATGTCCCTAATATTCTTTATCAGAATTTATCTCATCCGTTAGTCCTTTTTAAGAGAAACTTTTCCCATATTATTGGAAATCTTGGTCTAATACTTTCTGCTTCTTCATTTCCCTGTAATTCTTCATTTAACCACTTCAGAAAAGCTTCTCCAAGTTCCTGAAAATATAAATACAGCACTGTTTTTAAAGCCATTAATTATCTTTAAACTTAAAAGGAAAAAAATTTTTTTTTTTTTCAACAAGTCGGCCATCTCCCACAGAGCAAAAAGAAAGAAAATCCCCAAAAAGAAAATACTTTCATCATCATTCAACACTTTCACCTCACTCACACATAATCACTGTTTTTGCAGAGGTGCTCAGAACACAACAGTTTAGAAGCACATACGTATAAAGATACACAACATATCCCTCCAAACTGCTAATATCCCAAAACCCCTCCTTTAGAGTGCAGGCATTGTACTTCCCATTTCCAGGACTCAAGTCCGGCTATACAAAAATAACCGGTTTCCTGAATCCCTTCACTAAATATTACCCTGCTCACACTCCAACAGATCGTCAGGTCCCAAATACCATTCATCTCCATTCACTCCTATCAAACACGCTCATACACGCCTGCTGGAAGTCCAATCCCCTCGCCCACAAAACCTCCCTTACCCCTTCCTTCCAACCTTTTCGAGGACGACCCCTACCCCGCCTTTCTTCTCCTACAGATTTAAATGCTCTCCATGTCATTCTACTTTGATCCATTCTATCTAAATGACCAAACCACCTCAACAACCCCTCTTCAGCCCTCTGACTAATACTTTTATTAACTCCACACCTTCTCCTAATTTCCACACTCCGAATTTTCTGCACAATACAGTGGACCCCGGCCTAACGTTGGCATCACATAACGTTAAATCCGCCTAGCGATACATTTTAACGCTAAAATTTTGCCTCGCCTAGCGCTAAAAAACTCGCTCAACGCAATTCGTCCGACAAGCGTCCATGTGCGGCCTGAGCCCGCCTCACTTGTTCCGCCGGTGGTATTGTTTACAAGCCAGCCTCTGCGGTCACATCCAAGCATACAATCGGAACATTTCGTATTATTACAGCGTTTTTAGTGATTTCACCTGCAAAATAAGTGACCATGGACCCAAGAAAGCTTCTAGTGCCAACCCTACAGGAATAAGGGTGAGAATTACTATGGATATGAAGAAAGAGATCATTGCTAAGTATGAAAGTGGAGTGCGTGTCTCCGAGCTGGCCAGGCTGTACAGTAAACCCCAATCAACCATCGCTACTATTGTGGCCAAGAAAATGGCAATCAAGGAAGCTGTTCTTGCCAAAGGTGCAACTTTGTTTCCAAAACAGAGATCCCAAGTGATAGAAGATGTTGAGAGACTGTTATTGGTGTGGATAAACGAAAAACAGATAGCAGGAGATAGCATCTCTCAAGCAATCATAAGTGAAAAGGCTAGGAAGTTGCATGAGGATTTAATTAGAAAAATGCCTGCAACTAGTGATGATGCGAGTGAATTTAAGCCCAGCAAAGGTTGGTTTGAGAGATTTAAGAAGCATAGTGGCATACATAGTGTGATAAGGCATGGTGAGGCTGCCAGTTTGGACCACAAAGCAGCTGAAAAATATGTGCATGAATTCAAGGGGTACATAGACAGTGAAGGACTGAAACCTGAACAAGTGTTTAATTGTGACGAAACAGGCCTGTTTTGGAAGAAAATGCCAAGTAGGACCTACATTACTGAGGAGGAAAAGGCACTCCCAGGACATAAGCCTATGAAAGACAGGCTTACTCTGTTAATGTGTGCCAATGCTAGTAGTGATTGCAAAGTGAAGCCTTCATTGGTGTATCACTCTGAAACTCCCAGAGCGTTCAGGCAAAAGAATATCCTCAAGGCTAATTTGTGTGTGCTGTGGAGGGCAAACAGTAAGGCATGGGTCACTAGGGACTTTTTCTAAGACTGGTTACACCATGCATTTGCCCCCACAGTGAAAAATTACCTAATTGAAAATAAATTAGACCTTAAGTGCCTCCTGGTGTTAGACAATGCCCCTGGTCATCCTACAGACTTGGCAGAGTGACTTTGTGGGGACATGAGCTTCATTAAGGTCAAGTTTTTGCCTCCTAATACCACTCCTCTCCTGCAGCCCATGGACCAGCAGGTCATTTCCATCTTCATGAAACTGTATACAAAAGCTCTATTTGAAAGGTGCTTTGTAGTGACCTCAGAAACTCAATTGACTCTTAAGAGAGTTTTGGAGAGATCACTTTAATATCCTCAATTGTGTAAACCTTACAGGTAAGGCTTGGGAGGGAGTGACTAAGAGGACCCTGAACTCTGCTTGGAAAAAACTGTGGCCAGAATGTGTAGACAAAAGGGATTTTGAAGGATTTGAGGCTAACCCTGAGAAGCATATGACAGTTGAGGAATCAACTGTAGCACTGGGGAAGTCCTTGGGGTTGGAGGTTAGTGGGGAAGATGTGGAAAAGTTGGTGGAGGAGGACAATGAAGAACTAACCACTGATGAGCTGCTAGATCATCTTCAACAGCAAGAGGCCACACCTGAGGAAACTGCTTCGGAGAAGGGGAGAGAGAAATTGAAGAAGTTGCCTACTTCAAAGATTAAGGAAATATGTGCAATGTGGCTTAAAGTGCAAACCTTTATGGATGAAAATCACCCTCAGACAGCTATTGCAAGCCGTGCTGGTGACTATTACACTGACAATGTTGTGAAACACTTTAGGAAAGTCATAACGAAATGAGAGGTACAGACCTCTATGGACAGATATGTTGTGCGACAGAAGTCCAGTGGCTCTGAAGCTGGTCCTAGTGGCATTAAAAGAAGAAGGGAAGTAACCCCGGAAAAGGACTTGACACCAAGTCCTAATGGAAGGGGATTCCCCTTCTAAACACTAAGACCATCAACACTCTCCCCTCCTCCCATCCCATCAATCATCACCAGATCTTCAATAAAGGTAAGTGTCATGTAACTGTGCATGTCTTCTTCAGTTTGTGTGTATTAAAATTAATATTTCATGTGGTAAAAATTTTTTTTTTCATACTTTTGGGTGTCTTGCACGGATTAATTTGATTTCCATTATTTCTTATGGGGAAAATTAATTCGCCTAACGATAATTTCACCTAACATTGAGCTCTCAGGAACGGATTAATAGTATTATGCGAAGGTCCACTGTATTTACACCACACATTGCCCTTAGACAGGACATCTCCACTGCCTCCAACCGTCTCCTCGCTGCTGTATTTACAACCCAAGCTTCACACCCATACAAGTGAGTTGGTACCACTATAATTTCGTACATTCCCTTCTTTGCCTCCATAGATAAAGTTTTTTGTCTCCACATATACCTTAATGCACCACTCACCTTTTTTCCTTCATCAATTCTATGATTAACCTCATCCTTCATAAATCCATCCGCTGACACGTCAACTCCCAAGTATCTGAAAACATTCACTTCCATACTCCTCCTCCCCAATTTGATATCCAATTTTTTTTTATCTAAATCATTTGACACCCTCATCACCTTACTCTTTTCTATGTTCACTTTCAACTTTCTACCTTTACACACACTCCCAAACTCATCCACTAACCTTTGCAATTTTTCTTTAGAATCTCCCATAAGCACAGTATCATCAGCAAAAAGGAACTGTGTCAATTCCCATTATGTATTTGATTTCCCATAATTTAATCCCACCCCTCTCCCAAACACCCTAGCATTTACTTCTTTTACAACCCCATCTATAAATATATTAAACAACCATGGTGAGATTACACATCCCTGTCTAAGACCTACTTTTACCGGGAAGTAGTCTCCCTCTCTTCTACACACCCTAACCTAAGCCTCACTATCCTCATAAAAACTCTTTACAGCATTTAGTAACTTACCACCTATTCCAAATACTTGCAACATCTGCCACATTGCTCCCCTATCCCCTCTATCATATGCCTTTTCTAAATCTATAAATGCAATGAAAACTTCCCTACCTTTATCTAAATACTGTTCACATATATGCTTCAATGTAAACACATGATCTACACATCCCCTATCCACTCTGAAACCTCCTTGCTCATCTGCAATCCTACATTCTGTCTTACCTCTAATTCTTTCAATAATAACCCTACCGTACACTTTTCCTGTTTTACTCAATAAACTTATTCCTCTATAATTTTTACAATCTCTTTTGTCCCCTACCCTTTATATAAAAGGACTATACATGCTCTCCGCCAATCCCTAGGTACCTTCCTTCTTTCATACATTAAACAAAAGTACCAACCACTCCAACACTATATCTCCCCCTGCTTTTAACATTTCTGTTGTGATCCCATCAGTTCCAGCTGCTTTACCCCCTTTCATTTTATGTAATGCCTCACGTACCTCCCCCACACTTACATTCTGCTCTTCTTCACTCCTAAAAGATGGTATACCTCCCTGGCCAGTGCATGAAATTGCCGCCTCCCTTTCTTCCTCAACATTTAAAGGTTCCTCAAAATATTCTCGCCATCTACCTAATACCTCCCTCTCCCCATCTACTAACTCCCCTACTCTGTTTTAAACTGACAAATCCATACGTTCCATAGGCTTTTTTAACTTGTTTAACTCACTCCAAAATTGTTTCAAATTTTCATTAAAATTTCTTGACAGTGCCTCTCCCACTCTTTCATCTGCTCTCCTTTTGCACTCTCTCACCACTCTCTTTTACTCTCCATATACTCTGCTCTTCTTATAACACTTCTGCTTTGTAAAAACCTCCTATAACCCCCACCCTCCTATAACCACAAACTTCTGCCCCACATTCTAATACTGCATTTTTAAAACTATTCCAACCCTCTTCAACCCCCCCACTACTCATCTTTGCACTAGCCCACCTTTCTGCCAATAGTCGCTTATATCTCACCCGAACTTCCTCCTCCCTTAGTTTATACACTTTCACTTCCCTCCTACTTGTTGTTGCCACCTTCCTCTTGTCCCATCTACCTCTTACTCTAACTGTAGCTATAACTAAATAATGATCCAATATATCAGTTGCCCCTCTATAAATATGTACATCCTGGAGCCTACCCATTAACCTTTTATCCACCAATACATAATCAAACAAACTACTTTCATTACGTGCTACATCATACCTTGTATATTTA